TAACCCCACATGTGTTTATTGGCCAGGTTGGCACAATAAACTTTAACTATATCAGGTTACAACTAAAGACACATAGGAATTTCAATGCATGATTCTTAATTGAGTGCTACACTGGAAACAACAGCTACGAAGTATGCATTTAGGGACAACTGGGGTTATTTGAATATGGAATCTATATTGGATACTGTAATTATTTTAATAATAAATTTCACAATGGTTGTAGTATTATGCAATGGCAGAAGGCATTTTATATACTTTCAGAGATATGTCACTATATCTGTAACTTTCAAATGATTCAGAAAAAATAAACTAAATATCAATGTATTTACCATTTGCGTACATGCATATGTGTTCATATATGTGTGTGTGTGGACGAAAACTGGTAAATCTGGATGAAGAATGTATGAGTTCATAGTGAATTAAAATTATGGGATTATTAATGATTTTCTTTTGTTTTTAAAAATTAATTAATGTCCAAGAATAATGTGCATTATTCTAAACCCAAATTTCAATGCAATAAGAGACACACTTCCTAGTTATTTCTTATTAGGCTTTAGGTGGTCAGTGGATAACATTATCAGTGTATAATATTTTATGGCCTGGTTTCAAGCTGATTTCTAGATAAAGCTCCCAGACCTCTTCTACCTGTAGAATTAGAAGTGCTGAGTATATTTTCCCTCCTGCTATTGCCACCTTGGACCATGGGAACACAGGACTTACTTTTCAGACCAGGCAAGTTTCAAGGTGACTGGCAGTCAGGCATTGGGGTCAGCCCTGCTTCCACTCTGATGGAAATAGTCCATTTTGCCTCAGGAAAAGATATGAGACCACAGCCTCAGAGAAGCCTATAAAAGACAGAGAGGAGAGAGATAATAAAGGAAGATTGTTCATGTTTTTTAAGCCATGAGTTTTACATTTTAATGCTAATAATTATATTCCTTAAAGGCTAATTTAAATATTAATTTTTAAAATTTTAAGATGGTTACAATATTCAATATGAACTTGAAATGGTATAGATGGTGAATCGCACCCCCAACACATGATCCTGAATTTTAACACTAATCAAAAAATATTTTAATAGACTGCTTTTTAGAGAAGCTCTAGTTTTATAGAAAAAATGCAGACATTACAAAAAGGTACCTTTACACCCTGAACCTTATTTATTTATTTTATTTATATCATTTTATTGGGGGCTCGTACAGCTCTTATGATAATCCATACATACATTCATTGTGTCTATCACATTTGTACATATGTTACCATCATTTTCAAAACATTTTCTTTCTACTGGAGCCCTTGGTATTATCTTATTTTCCCTTCTTTCCTACCTTCCCTCCCTCATGAACCCTGTATAATTAAAAAGAATTTTTTTCATGTCTTAGACCTACTGCTGCCTCCCTTCACCCACTTTCCTATTGCTTGTCCCTCTGGAGGGGGGTTATATGTAGATCCTTGTGATCGGTTTCCCCTTTCTCCCCCCACCTTTCCCTTCCCCTCCTGATATCACTACTCTCATTATTGGTCCTAAGGTGTTTATCTGCTCTGTATTCCCTGTGCCGTGAGCTCATATCTGTACCTGTGTACATGCTCTGATCTAGTCGGATTTGCAAGGTAGAACTGGGGTGTTGATAGTGGGAGGGGAGGAAGCATTAAAGAACTAGAAGAAAGTTGTGTGTTTCATCAGTGCTGCACTGTACCCTGACTGGTTCATCTCTTTCTTGTGACCCTTCTGTAAGGGAATGGCCAATTGTCTACAGATGGGCTTTGGATCTCCACTCTGCACACCCCCTCATTCACTTTGATAGGATTTTTTGTTTTCACGCTGAACATTATTTCTCTTATTATTAAAACCTTGCATTCCTGTGGTGCTTTTGTTAGAATAGATAGACCAGTATTGCTACATTAGTACTAGTGGTGCAATGGTTAAGTGCTCACTCGGTATCCAAAATGTTGTGAGCC